ATTTACCGGAAGAAAATAATTTTGCTTCATTCTAGGTAACATTTCCTAAAAATAACAGTGGGAATCAGTGATTGTACGTTAGACGAAATAATAAGTTTGTATGGATGAGCAACGATGCACGGAAGTTATATTAATATCCTATTTGAGTGAATACATAAAAATGAAGAATAAAACTGATAAGATTGATTGACAAAAAGGTTTTACATAGATTTGTCTAGTTTTCTAATTTTTTTGTTTCTGATGATTAATTACTTAGCATCTAATTAGAAATTGCGAGGTTCAAAGAATAAATGTAGATGTAAAAAGCGATACATGAATTATGGCAGATTAATTCTCTTATCAAGAAATTACCATTTAGCTGATCGACAATTAGTCACCTGCCAAGCGACTGATCAAGATTTCTTTGCAAAGTGATGTTGCACAAAGATTTGGAAGTAAGCTGGTTCGGATCAAAAACGGGGAAAGGCATAAGGCAATGCATCTGAAGAAGGGCATTTTCCTTCTCAACAAACGAAAATAGCGTATGAGTATCTTTCTGCATATATTATAAATATAATAGATATAAACGACTAACCAAAATATAAAATGTCTAAATAAAGCGGTTGATATACAGAAATGGACAAACATGTTACACCAAGATGCACGATGATATTGTTTTAATGTTAAAAAATTTTATTATTTTTATTTTTTTTTTCATATTGAGAAGGATGTACATTCATACTACACAGTCAACCCCGTTAACCCAGCCCCGTTTAACCGAAGGACTAAGTAAACCGATAAATTTGCCCCGACAAACCGAACCCGTTAAACCAAATTCTTAAGCATTTCCCACCTATGTTCCCGACCCACTTCGGTTTAAAACAGAATTCACCATGTAGATTCATATTTATTGATTTATTTACATTCTACTTCCTACTTCCTATGTTATTATAGCTTTACGAATTGCAACTTGGACTATCGCTGTTGAAGTTACCAAAAAATCCTTTGGTACCTCATCAGTATAATAAGATATACTTCTAGTTAAAGACAGTATCAATACAAAAACGCATGTTTTTACAAAATAAAAATTGATTGGCCACATTAACAGAATCAATAATGTTTGCAAAAAGTTTGGGGCATAAAAGCAGCTTGCAATAAGAATAACATAAAGTACACCGGTTATCTCATTATCTGTAACACAATTGAACGCGATTATACAAATGGGTATTAAAGCCAACAAGATTCCAAACAATACAATAAATAGTAAGTTAATTGAAGCAACCATATGATTAGTCACCAAATAAGAAATCCAAAATATTGGTATTACTAAAACGGGGAAAAATATCAAAAAGAATATGCTAATCCATGCATTACTATTACCATAATCATCTTCACCAAATGACTTCCATCTGATTAATGCAGTCAGTGCACAAAAAACATGCAAACACATGTTTACAATTGAAAATATTTTTACAGGTTTCGAATCACCGTAGGCAAATGACACCGTTAATGGGATGACCCAAGTGACTGTATTGTACAGTATATCGTCCAGCAGTGGCAACAGCTTCTTTTTTATCGGCCCAGGTTTTCCCGAGACATTTAACAGCACGACAAAGGTTATTGGGAAGAGCGTAGTAAGAATTGCGTCGTATAAATCTTCGTAAGACGTATAAGAGTTATCGACAATAGATGCTGTTGCAAGCGGGATAAGTGAGAAAAACATAGTAATACGGAAAAGAGAATCCGCAAATGTCTGTTTAGCACTGTAGTGTTTACGCTCCATCCGAAATGTGAGAGATTTAAAAGTAAAACGATAAAATGGAAGTTGCCACTCGCAGATTAAAGTTTATTATTTAGATCTTACACGCATATTTATAGACGCTTCGTTCTCGCAATTTCGGCCGATTATTCATTACCAGACCACCTTGATAACTAATTTCGTATTATCAAACGTTAGTACAACAAACATTGCCTCGCAAAATGATTAGTAGTACAATAAATAGTAGCTAGCATCTGGTGTAACGTAATTATAATCCCGAAAATTTTTTTCAGACAATATTATATTATCATGCAAGTGTGATGATTTTGCTGGTTCTAATAACAATGAAATCGATACCTGCTGGTGTTCAGTAATCTTGGCGTGGGTTAACATTAACTCTTGGGCTTCTTCACCACTTTTTTCCAAAGTTTTTCGGCAAGCATAATCTTCCCAAAAGTCTTGTAATATCGGCACGTTTATTTAACTGGTTTCATTCCTCTTTAATCTCAGCGAGTTCTTTCCCAGTTTAAGTCGAGAAGAAAGGGGATTGTTTATCCTCCTATAAAGAGATAGAAAAAACTTTTTTTTGCTTACGCTCGTAAATACTGAGCTAATTCAACGATGTAGATGTATAAATCATGTAGTTTAATATAGACTTTTCAATTTGATGCTTTGCTTAATATTCTGCGATTTCTTTTGGTGTTGCTTACACAATCAGGTTATAATCAATCACCCTTCTACTTAAAACGTTAACCCGAAAATATCCTTTATATTATCAATAATATTACGCACCAACTCTTCGAAAATTGAGCAGTAGTACATGTCTCGTATATTACCAGTACGATATGGCGGTAGTAAGTGTATTCAACTTTACATGCTTAAATATACCAAAGATTGGATTCATTAAAAGGCATTTACCAAGAAAAGTTCAGTTTGCAACAACAAATAAGCTACAACTCAAACATATTGTACTTTTAAACACTTTGGAAGTTTGCTGGTTAGTTTTGCATTGCAATTTGCTACCGCTAGGATATATTATATATACAGTACTTATAGAAAGGGACTTGGACCAGGCTAAATATCAATCTACTGAAAGCAAGACAGAAATTCATAACGAAAAATAAATAATTGGCAAATCAGTGCTTAGAGTGAGGGAAGACGCGCACGCAGAAAGTCAATCAGGTTCAAAAAATATAACGATCAAGAGACTCGTGCCAGGTGTCGTTTAAGAGGAAATCAGTTTTTGCGGCTGTTAAAGATCTTGCAAACGAAGACAAACCAGACACCATCTCCAGTTGGATTGGATTCCCTGAATCTGCTCTCTCTTCTACTGAATACTTTAATTTAAAATACCGTTCGATTCAGCCAAGGTTGATGCTGCAAACCTTTTGTGCTTTACGTTATACGTGTAGACGAATTGCTCTTCTAAAATTGATTTATTTATAAACATTACGCTACTGTTCATGCGTTATAAAGCGACTTTTTTAATACAGAAACGGCTGCAGGCATGTCTTTCCAATTTGCGTCATGCAAACATACAGGCCTGCAAACAACGATGCGCTAAGAGTCTTGTTTGATGATCAAAGGGCTTGGAAAGTTCAAAACATAAGTCATTTTTTTGACTCGTGGGCTTCTTAACAGTTGGGTTGGTAAATAAAATTATTACATCTATAATAAGTTTTTCATGCATTATTCAATTTTCACACGAATATTAAGTTATATTCGCAATGTCAACATAGGTGTAAATGATATTCTTCCACAAGTTATTAAAAGAATGATCAAATAAGAAGTTGGTTGAGCTAGCATTAATATCGAGATGGTGTAGCAAATAACAAAGAACACTCCAATGACCTTTCAATTTATTGATCAGTGGACGAACTAAATCAGGAAAAGCGAATATTATTGTCAACCTTTTACTTGAAAATAAGAATTTAATGAGAAAAAAGGCGGGGCGCGTTATACAAAAATGACGATCTAGTTTGTCTATGAAAATTGCTTGTTAATAGCTTTTCTAGAACAAAGAAAGACGGGCATTGGCCTTAGCAAAAATTTTATATACGAGTTAACAATGTAAAAAAAAAAAATACGTCAATCAATCTCTGACTTCATAAGTAGTTACTTCACAAGCTGTTAGTGTAGTAAGCTTATGTTATAAGCGAATGATTACGATATATATTATCTGGCAGCCTAGCACTTACCCGTTTATCCGAACGTATGGTTTCTCTGAATATACACTTCGGTTTATAGAGCAACCCCGCTAATCCAACATCTTTGGTTTATCGGGGTTGACCTTGTACCCAGTGTGAAAATTGATGCCTTCGATATCCCAAGTCACTCATTCTCTTCTATAACCACTGGACGTAAAATCTTAATCCTAACATAGATTATGTCTCTTGCTAGAATGCAGTAAGTAGTTCATTAAATTTAACCGATTTTGCACTAAGTTATTTTTAGCGATGCGATGTCGTGTTCAATAATTTGCAACTAAGCAATAGTGGGATGTAATTATTGAAACCATGGCATAATATGTGTACAGTATGATGCTTATAACAATAAATAGAGCATTCTCTATTAGTAAACGTACAAGTGACGTCTTTACACTACCATTGGATGTACACATATAGCAAATTGGTTAGAACCGATAATGAAGGGACAAAAGTGACACGCAAACGGATAATTTATGCTATACCAATTTTTATCAGACAAACTAGTTGAGCGTACTATACGTTATCGCTGATTATTTTTGCAAGTTTGGGGAAATGTTATAAGTACTATTCCCTACATGTTATGTGAAGTAGGAATTGAGAAAGAATATGTAAAATCGTTGAAACTATCCTAGGTTACATAAACGGTCCTCACAATTTTTCTCAATTTGCGTTTGTCCAAACCGCTTACTTAACCTCATAGTGAAGGTATTAATATCTTTATCCGGCATATCTAACAGATTAATTGCCTGCATGAATATTGTAGCTTGACCTTACTTCTTGAATAACTGTGCCCTAATGCTAAGACGCACAAGAAAACTTTGAATAGTAACAAGCCAAATCATTTTTATTAATGGTCAAAGTGCAGATAACAATAAAGACCGCGAAACCTCAAAGTGCAGATAACATAGTAACATTGTTTTCAAAAATGCATATCAAAAATAAGTGTCAAATTTGCCTACAGATTAAGGGATGACATGAAGAGAAATCGTGTTACGATAGATCTTATTGGTCTCTCGACAGCCATGCCCAGCCAGTCGTGTCCGACTTATCGAGTTTCACTGTGAATTGCTATTATTTTGATCTTCCTCATCAATTATTTCTTGCAATTTTACTTCAATATCATTCGTTGTAAAGCACACAAATCGCAGCATAATATAAGCTTTTGCCCAAAGAACAGAAGGCGCCATAATTAAGCAAAAAGTTAATGCAAGGCAGAATCCAATAATCCAAGATGCTCTTCGAAATTTTTTCGCCGTTATTTTGCGAATTTTCATAAAGTTAGATAATGTCCTCTTCAGAACTTCATTCCGATCAGCCTCTTCCATATTAATCAATTCCTTAAAGCCATGCTCTTCGTACAGTTCCTCGCTATTTAGTTCTTTTGAACGTTTAATAGCGTACAGATACAGCGTAATTCCAATGAAAAAAGCCAAAAAAATGGGTCCAAGCACGAACCAATACGCCGACGGGTTCACGTAACGTCTTCTTACCGCCAAGAAAAGGAAAATCAATTCTTTTGCAAATACAGTTAAAAGTTGTAAAAGAGAGGGTAATAGAGCTATATACTTTTTTTGCAAACTCGTGCAACGCATCATAAATATAAAAATAAAGAAAGTGATATCTTGTAAAAACGTTATCACAAGATAGACGTAAAAAAAACGGTCTCTGGTTCTACGGTAGGCTTTGACCATAAACCAAATTTGTAATGGAATACTCAAAAAATAGCTGAGACCGTAGGAAATATACAAAAACAATTTCTGTAGAAACTTCTTTTCATCAGATATACGTTTGACATCAACAGTTATGATTGACGCAATTAAAACAGTAGCCATCAAGTCAAAGATAGATTCGGTGATTGGATCTGAATTCTCATCTAACTCTTTAAAAAGGGCATCCGTAAGCCCAGGAAACGCAAGAATAGTCAATGTCAGAAGCGTTAAGTGCAACATGATTTTCGAAATAAGGACAAGAAAATAGCTCAGATTGGCTTTTTATTACAGTTAATGCTGCAATTTACCGATGTCATATGATCAGTCGAATAAGTCACACAATATAACAGCTGATTTCCAACATCGTTGTACAAGTTTCTAAAAAGACATCATCAGATTAATCGTATGATTGATACCACTCATTTTCGAGATGTTCACCTACTAGTAGTATATTTTATGACTTTCATATTCTTATCGTAGTTCATAAGATGTACTTTACATCTCTGCTAAGTCGTATAAATCTATTCAATTGTTGTACCATAGTGAATGAAATATATTCTACAATTCTAAAATTCATCTAACGGATGCCAATTATCATAGGAATTTACTTGCCAGGTTGCACAACCCGACACATAATTTTTCTATTTATGGAGGAGAAGCCATCTGAGTGTCCAATGAAGGGATAATGTTTGAGTCTGTACGATTTGGCAGGTTGTGCGACATGGCAGGTAAATTCCCGATTGGATGATGCAAGCATATCAAAACTGTTAATTCTTCAACAATGCTATTAATCATACGATCGGTGCTTCGTATAACTACAGGCAAATCAGATGATCTGAACAAATATAATGCTGTGTCATGCATTTCGTTTCTTTTTATGACAACTAGAACTTTATGTTTTGGGGGCTGCGCCCCTCGGGTAATTTTCGTCTGTGCTGTTTATGTAGTGGGAAAGTAATTGTGGTGTGAAACGCCGGTGGCGTTTATAACATTGGTGTTCGTTTTCTCAAGACAAATAGTATTTATTATGATTTTGTACAATACATGTTTGATTAGACATTGAGGCAGTCAGGAAGAAAGCGTTGCGCTATCAGAACTAAAGTCTGTTTAACTTTGAGAAGGCTTTTAAGTAAGATATTCAAGTTACGAAAAATAAGATAAAACTATTGTTTATTTACATTTATGAATAAATATCATAGTTTTTATTCTTCAAGAGGAGGTAGCATTAGTTTGGTAGACGCTAAATCGGAAAGATTTTTTACTTTTGTGGATGAGCGTAGCTCCCGTTTAGCTGGTTTGTCTTCGTTCAGATAAATCATTTTCGGATTTGATTTTTGTTTTCGTAGGTGGGGGTATGGGAGAGGTTTTTTGTCCCTTGGTAGTGGTAGTTAGTGATTCGTATGAAGACTTCTCTTCTCAGAGGCAGAAGATGTGAATGAGGATGCGGATGAGGGTGAGGAGGTGGGTGTGGAGGACGTATATTGTGTGGTGTTCGTGGATATGAAATCAAAATTGTGAAGTTCGAGACACAATTTATCATCGTGGATATCTAATTCTCCTATAAGGGAGACTTTTGAAGCCAGTTTTGCTTTCGTTGTTCGGTTGTAAAGATATTTTCTGTTGACATGATGGCGGATTATTATTTCGAAGTCTGCCGTTTTTAAAGTTGATTGGCTTCCGGAGACGTATTGGGAGGTTTGAATAGTTAAGACGACCATGTCATGGTATAATATGTTAGCGGTTGATTTTATGATGCCGATCGTACTAAGCCAAGTACGCGCGCGCATGGCATGTTTGATGTTACTTCTTGAGATACGTGGCACTTACATGCGTTTACCTGTAGGAAGTAAGTATAACTTATTAGAAGGGAATGGGTTATGTCATATAATAGTAAAATAATCCATACTTTTAGTACGTTATTGTGGAGACCAGTAACTGTCGCAGCTAATTCGATTACATTGTCCGATGAAAAAGGCGTGGTGGCGAGCCAATCAGGGGTTTCCTTAAGGACGTAGACTTCAATGTACACTTTTATGGATTCATTAGCGAAGTTGAGAAATATCCCGTTTGCTTTGAAAGGTTTAGTTTCTTGCCTGTATTCTTCATTAACGTCAAATACGTGGATTGCAGTTGAATTTAAATGAACAAACATTGGGACAAAAACTGATTTACAGAGTAACAGGGGAAAAATGTTTTATTAGAGCTGTACCAAGGAAGGGAAGGGATTGTAAGGTTGAATGGAGAAAGTGGATAGGTGTCGGAGGCTACGTATAAAGAATGGAAAGTAATAATATAAGTTGCCGAAAGAAGGGAATTCTTTAATGTTTATTGTAGAATGATATAAAACGGAATGGAAAAAGAAATGTTAATACTTCTATTTTAGACTCTTTAATGGGATGGAGAGAAGTAATATAAGTTACCGGAAGAAGGGAATGTTTGCTGTAGAATAAGAAATGGAAATACTTCTATTTTTGTGCGTTTAAATTTATGATGTAAACTGGTGTGGAGGGATGTAATATAAGTTATCGAAAGAGAAAAATTATTTTGTTCCAATCTATATTCACTAAACAAAATTTCTAGTATGTATATTCCTATCTTGCATCTTTTCAGTTCCGTAATTGTTATTGTGGAAATAATGTATAATAGGAAAACTGTAACAGAAAAGAAATGTCGATACTTTGATCTTTAAAGGATAGCGAAAAATAATATAAGTTGCCGAAAGAAGGAAAGTCATTAATATTTATTGTAGAAACGTTATTGGAAGAAGTAATATAATGCTAGTTTAGATGTACGAATATAAAAGGAAGAGGGGAATAGTTATTATAGACATAAGAAATATTTCAGCATATAATTTTAGCATAAAGGTACGATATACAGTACAGCAGTATATATTGGTCTTTAAAAGGAAAGAACTATTAATCATGTTCGTCGTACAATATACTGTGAGTTAATGCTTATTTAGTTGATAACGATAGATAAGTCAACTAAATTGATATAGGTTGGACGACTTTTTAAACCAGGTAACGTTTGCTTGAAAGGAGTTAGCTGCGTAGGCGTATATTGAATTTTATTGGGAGATAGGTTTCTATTTTTTGCCAATAACTATAATATATATATAATACAGTACATGTGATTACAATGATCATCTATCGAGTTGTGAATAGGTTTATTCAGACTTGATAAAAAAAAATATTTTTGAAAGTAATTATAAGATAACATGATAAAAAAATAATATAATAGTGATCGTATATTACATTATGATGGTTGATGTTGTGGAGAAAGAAAGAAAGGGAGAGATATAGCTTTTTGCTGTAAACGTTCATATTCATTAAGGACTGGTGTCAATAGAGAATGCAGTTTTGTTCAAGCAAGGAATGTCTACAACATCCCAAGATAGAGTACGACTTAACGCAGTATATGATTGATCATTCAAAAACAAAGAGATATGGGGTAAAGTTAGTCCTTGACATTTGTGTACAGTTAATGCAAAGCAGTTCTGCAAGGAAATTGTCTGCGCGATGCATTCATACCAGTGACAGTAAAGTATGATGTTTTGGGGAAGACAATAGTATGCATTAGGCGCGCGGTTCCAATAAACGCAACAGAATACGTTCGGCTTGACGATCAACGTTAGTAACAATGCCTATAAACTGGTGGAGTCGTTGATGTAAGCGTGAAACCAGAGAATAATAGGCAGATAAGTAAGGATTATTTTCTTGTAACCATGCAATAGCATAGCGTAATAATGGATGATACCAATGATTGTTCGGTTCGGATAAATCTGTATGTTGCAGAAATGCACCAAGCATGCCAGAATAAGAGTCAATGCTCTGCAGTTTTTAGAATATCCCATTTCGATCGATATTTCACAAAGGGATTTGCACCAGCAGAGCGAACTAAACTGGTATGTAGATAGATGGGAAAAAGATATTTTTTTTGGCATAAGGAACATCTCGAATACATTGAGGTATTGGCGCAAGTTTACAAGTAATTTGATTACTGGGATTAGATTTGCAACTGTCACAAACAGCAATTTTTGCTGAGTATCGCGGATGTGTTTTTCGGGAAAAGATGACTGAAAAGGGTAGGTGACTGTTTCATCTCTTATTATCCATTTTGCCGAATGCGGATATAGTAAGTGGGAGCAATAGGAACAGGGAACGCACGGAGATGAAACAAATTCACAGAAAGAGTAAGACTATAGTTCAGGTGATGGGGACGAAAATTTACTATACGTTAAAAAAAAAAAAAATAAAAATAAAAATTGGCTTGATGGTATCCTCTAGAAAAAGAAATGGGATCCGACAGATGAATTATGCAGTACATTAATCAGTTTGATGAAACTGTATGTAACAGAAACAATATTCCAACTATTGTTCGAAAATCATTTATTCATGGGAGATTCGATCTTAACATGAGGCACATGACATTGCGCAACATATTTTAACCAATTTGTGAACTTGGCGTTTATCAGATTCTTGCGTTGTTGATTTTCGTTATTTATTTTCTATACAGTTCAACCCGTTTAGAAGCACCAATGAGTCATGAAGCTGACTACCATAATTATGAACAAACTTACACAATTGATACTACAGTGTATATTTTGAATAGACTATTTCGTATGCAGTGATGTATTGGATATTGGATGGTCAGTGCTAACAGTTAATTCGAAGTATTAATTATATTATTTTGCTAATATTTTATTCTATCTAGGATTGAATTGTCAACTCGGCATACAAAAAAAAACACAAAATTGATGGCTATTTTAAAGTGATTAAGACAAGAAGGATGCATCAAGCGATAATGTTTATCGAATTCTCTAAAGGACCCAGAGCGTCACCGAAGAAAATTTGGGAAGATCAAATTAAATTGTGTAGAAATTCCATACGAATTTTAAATGATATTCTAAAATATGTGCCAAAGAACAAAGCACGAATATATCTCGTGCAATCAGCCAGTAAGTATTGTATGATAAAAAATGCTTTGATTTGTTAACACGTGATACACTTATATTAAGTCTCTTATCTAGATGGTTATATGCATATCAAATATCTTGTTCGTCTGCTTCCGTCTGTTTATCTTCTCAACTTATAAAAATACCAACCACCTTTAACGATTTTCAAGATTTTTCAATGGACATGATCGAGTTAATGAATTTGCAGGCATGGATACCAACAAAGATAAAAATTTTGAATAACGAATAGTCACTTAATAACTTGTTATTACTTGCCTGTGCAAGTTTCAAGAAGACGTGTTATCAGGAGAGATTCTGTTAAAAAACTCGCTCATATATTAAAGAAAATGAGGACAAACTTGACCAGACAAAATAAATAAATTGACATATAATCTAGCAGAAAGCGCACCTACGTATCAAATTACTTCGAAAAAGGTTGCGCAAACTGGACGCTGATTATTTAACAACAAAGGCTAGACACGCCCGATATTAGGTGCATGTAAGGCACAATCCCATCTGTCTTTACTGCAACATGCTTTGTCTATGTATCGTAAAAACGTTTGATCATGATATTTTATAGAAGACAAATCTACTCGTAGCAGAAAAGCGCCTGGCATACCCGAATATAAAGTTAATGCTCTTCGATTTTTAGAATATTCTATTTGTCCGCTTATTGTTCGATATTCGACAAATGGATTAGCACAGGCAGAACGGCCTAAACTGGTGCGAAGATTTACAGGAGATACTTTTTTTTAGCATGAGGGAAATCTTGCAGTCATGTTAGTATTGAAGCAAGCCTGCGACTTAATCTATGATCAGGTTTAATTTTACACTGGAATTTTTGGGAATGAGAAGTAAGAGGTAATGTCAAAACGCGAACAGTACTACGCCTAATGCAACGCCACCGCGATGAGTGGGAAAAATCGAGAATGCTCAAGGATTTGGATCCGTGACGCGTGTTTATCGAAGGTAATTTTGTGGATGGTAGCAGACTGTATTTATTTACTCAAATAAACTACAAATTACCCGGAGATAATGTTTGGATAATTGATATTACTTAAGAGTAATCTACTATTTGTATTTGGTGTTTTATCACGACGTACTAATGCCGATCCCATAATATCATCGCATCGAAGTCGGTATAATCCGTCATTTGGTGGGTTTAAAAGACAGTATATACGTATACTGCCAAATATAAGACTACTAGAAGAGCGTATTGCCAAAAATTGTTGTCCACAAACGCTTCAAGAATTTTGATAAAGCGCATTATTTATTTCCGAGAGGTATTATCTATTCTCTGTATTTGTAATAGTTCAACAATTATTATTTGATCAATCTCTTATCGAAGTTAAAAATACAACTATAGCTTTCCTTTTAATAAATTATTCTTCACGAATGTATTAGATCTAATTAAAACATCTCCTCGTCTCAAATGATTGTTGAGGTCAAATAGCGAATTGTTGTATTGTTTTAGATTTAGATAAACACCTCTTACTATTACTTTCAATGCCCACGTATCTCTAGCGATTTGTTGAGATCGATTAGCGAATTGTCGTATTGTTCTAGTCCCAAATAGACACATCCCCTTCGACTCAATGCCCACACATCGTTTGGTTCAATCTCTAACGATTTGTTGAGATCGATTAGCGAATTGTCGTATTGTTTTAGATCTAGATAGACACCTCCCCTTCGACTCAATGCCCACGTATCGTTTGGTTCAATCTCTAGTGATTTGTTGAAATCATTAAGTGAATCGTCGTATTGTTTTAGGTTTAGATAGACACCTCCCCTTCGACTCAATGCCCACGCATCGTTTGGTTCAATAGCTAACGATTTGTTGAGATCAATTAGCGAATTGTCGTATTTTTTTAGATTTAGATAGACCCCTCCCCTTCGACTCAATGCCCACGCATCGTTTGGTTTAATCTCTAACGATTTGTTGAGATCAATTAGTGAATTGTCGTATTGTTTTAGACTGAGATAGACGCCTCCCCTTCGACTCAATGCCCACCACGCATCGATTGGTTCAATCTCTATTGATTTGTTGAGATCAATTAGCGAATTGTCGTATTGTTTTAGACTTAGATAGACACCTCCCCTTCGACTCAATGCCCACGCATCGTTTGGTTCAATCTCTAATGATTTGTTGAAATCGTTAAGTGAATTGTCGTATTGTTTTAGATTTAGATAGACACCTCCCCTTCGACTCAATGCCCATGCATCGTTTGGTTCAATCTCTAATGATTTGTTAAAATCATTAAGCGAATTGTTGTATTGTTTTAGATTTAGATAGAAACCTCCCCTCACTTTCAATGTCCATGCATCGTTTGGTTTAATCTCTAACGATTTATTGAGATCGATTAGCGAATTATCGTATTGTTCTAGTCCTAAATAGACACATCCCCTTCGACTCAATGCCCATGCATCGTTTGGTTCAATCTCTAACGATTTGTTGAGATCGATTAGCGAATTGTCGTATTGTTTTAGATCTAAATAGACACCTCCCCTTCGACTCAATGCCCACGCATCGTTTGGTTCAATCTCTAATGATTTGTTGAAATCATTAAGTGAATTGTCGTATTGTTTTAGATCTAGATAGACACCTCCCCTTCGACTCAATGCCCACGCATTGTTTGGTTCAATCTCTAATAATTTGTTGAAATCATTAAGCAATGTCCACGCATCGTTTGATTCAATCTCTAATGATTTGTTAAAATCATTTAGATCTGAATAGACACTTCCCCTTAGACTCAGCGTCGATGCATTATTTGGTTCAACCTCCAATGGCTTGTTAAGATCATCTATTTGATAACAACACTTCAATCTCATATGAACGTTAGCACACAATGGCCGCTTATTGGGTTCCTCATCCCAACAATTTGAATACAGATTAATATATTCTTCAGGCGTTCCGGGAAATGGGGGATCACGAGAACCGTTAAGTCTATACACCAGAATATCCAAAGTTTCAGTGAGCTCTCCACATGGGACTTTGCCGCTGGATATTTCCCATAGTATCACACCAAGGCTAAATATATCGGAACTCTTTCCACGCTTATATGAATTGTCCTTCAAAGATGCCGGATCCCTGTATGCTGGAGCGCCATCTCCACGTGATTTGAACATCGCTAGTTTCAACACATTTGATAAACCGAAATCAGTTATCTTTGCAACGCCCGATTTGATAAGAATATTACTCGATGACTATAAAACAAACGCATGTGTCAGCTTAAAACAAGTATGAGTTCAAACATACAATCAAATCGATATGTGATAAATACCAAATCCTTGTGAGCAATATCGAGATCATGTAAATGTTTGAGTCCATTAGTAATTTCTAAGCCCAGCTTGTGTTTGTCTTCCCAAGTCAAACTTTTAAAGTGCTTCCTTAAGTATTCACGCAAACTTCCACCGTCAGCAAGTTCAAACATCATATGATAATTCTCACGTTTGTCTGAAATATGACAGCATTAAGATGCTATTCCTTGTAGTAATAAGTAAATAGATTGCCCTTTGTTAACATACCTTTGTATAGACCCAAAAACCGGATAATATTAGGGTGGTTATTTGCTTCCTTGTAGTGTTTTAACTAGTGTATGGTATTCATTCAAAAAATTAGTCTATATACAAAATAAATGCGGCAAGCATAACGAATGATAATAGACAACCTCTTTAACAAATTGTTGATGCACATGTTCTTCACAATCTCCATGTCTGTCTGGAAACAAAATCTTCACCGCAACGGTAGTGTCATTAAATTTTTTTTTGCCAAAGATGGTCTTGACGATGCTTCCAATGCCGCTTTTCTGCTTTATCGTTGCCTTGTATACCACTCCAAACGCTCCATGACCAATATGTAGAGGATCTAGTTTTATGCCGTTTGCTGGACAGCAATAGATTGAACCTTCATGAATGCTTGCCTCTAGCCAATTTTTATAAGATGTTTGAGACATTGCGTGAGAAAGATGAATGTGACACAGTTTGCCAGATGCAGTGTAATAATAGGACAATCTTTTGTAATACTAGGTAAGAATAGAATTATGTGGGGGCTTCGCATCTCTTTCTTCATATAGTCATATAACAAAGAATTTAATCCGTTTACGTTATATTAATATATGATATCTGTATACAAGTATATTGCGAGATGGCTGAATAGTTGATATTGTTAATCGAAACTATGAAGGTTAACACAAAGCTTGTTGTTATAAATGTCTAATTCGCCTACGATTGAATCGACTTTTGCTTTCATAGTTCTTTAATGCTGATTTTTTTTTTCGGCGTTGTGATAAATTTTTATGACGGATTCTTGGGACCGGTACCAGAGACGTATTGACTGGTCTATTATAATATCGACGTTCATAGCTATCATATTGCTGTTGCTGTTGTCGTCGTCGTCGTCGTCGTAATGCATTTTGGTTAAGGGCACCGTTGAGAATTCCATGTTAAGAAGGTTGTTTTCGGCAGGAGGCAATCATTTTACCGACAAATATTCACTAACATTATTTCGAAGTTATTCTTTTTCGGTAGTTGATTGTTGGTGAAATGATATGGACCCGTTTCCAGTATAGAGTGGGAATAGATGGATCTGTGCTTATATGATTATTTGGAGTTGTTTTCGCGTCGCTTTTTCTCCTCGCAAACAGTGAACAAAATAATAAATTTTTTAACGGCCGTAAGAATTTTTACCGTTGAGTGAGAAAGGTTAAAGGGGGGTTGGTTTATACATTTTGCAGATAATCTGTTTGAGCGTAGTAAAAAAATCAATAGATGCGTCTGTTATATTGTGTTGCAATAAATATTTAATTGTTGTTTGTTGTTGCAGCTACTACTGTTGTTCCTGTACAACAAGAATTTATCTTGCAATTGCCTTTTTACAGAAAATGACTCTACAAAGAACACTGCTTTTATAACAGAGACAAACAATACGAAGCCTAATACTATAAACTCCACCAAACTATGTTATCATCATATATTACTATCATCCAAAATTATGTTTCCATCATGCTTGACGTAAATGTAACAGAAAATAAGAAATGCTACGAAGTAAGAAACCTATCAATCTGCGATTGACGTAATATATCTATTTGATAATGAGAAACCTTCGGCCTCAGTATACGTAGGATTGATAACGTCTTCGGATCAAAAAGAAGTTCTTTTGGAGGATTACTGATAAACTGCAATAGATTATCTACACTTTCTAGACCAACTTGGGCTGTGGTTTAGCTGCTTTTCATCATCGCCTTCTTTTTCCTGCACAATCGCAAGAATTTTGTCATTATCAAGGTGTTCAATTGGTACTTCATCATCGATAGTAATAAACTCTATTGAAAGCCACTTCTCTCTGTTTAATAGAATTTCAGAAATGCTGCTCTGACTTACACAATATTCGTTAGCCAAATCTATTTGATATGGCATATGGGCAACTGATCTATCAAAACGGCGATCATTGAGAAATTTGGGATGCAAAGATTTGGGGTGTTTTTTGACAGCAATAACCCCCTTCTCAGTATAACCCCCAAATTGGCATGAGACAAATGATCTGCACAAATATTTGGGGTTTGAATTTCGAAGTCTGGGGTCTGATGCATGGAAAACGGCTCTTGTATATTACTCAACTTCAAACTGTTGTAGAGAAAGGTTTTACTAATGTACTTGAGGTAAAAATTATCAAGATATGTAGAGGGGACTGCTGAGAACACGTCTATGCAAAAAAATCATTTTGTGTAACCATAACGATAGCCGCCTTTTTGATACAGATTTTGCTCCTTATGTATATGACCTACGTTTTCGCTTGCGAGATTGCATTCTTGAAAATTTTATTATGGATACGAATGTACGTAGATAATTTGTACTACATTATAATATCGGTTTATCGGTTTTACGAGGAATTTATGAAAAAAGTATCGCTTTTGCGAGTTATCGGTTTTTTGAGTGAAAGGCTTATTATCCATAGTCTGCCGTGGCTAACGCGACTCGCGGAACTGACGATTTTTTTAGGCACCACTAGCCTGCTACTAATTAATTCGTTACACCGACCTACCAATATGGACTATGTTCCGTTTGTGGAACATCGTCAAGGGGTAACAATAAAGCTCTCGACGAGTTTATCAGAAAATCGCAGCGACAAACGAAATCGGCAAACGAAGCCTACTTGGAATGGATTTCCTACGATCGGCTTGATATCAGCGTGTGTGATAACGATGGCGAGTTAACAGCAGTTAACGGGTGTGCCGCTAGAAAACCAGACATGTACATTAGTGGCAGTCTGCCTATCATTCAAAGTGTGAAATTGACTCCGCTTATCGGATAAGATGAACGATCAGTACTTTGATCAGGTAAGAAAAAAAACGACAACTAAAAGTTAAAAAACTACCACTCGGTTTATGTATTGCTAACAATAATCTGCCTTTTAGTTGTGTGTAGATAAACCCGACATGCTTAATCCCAACGTCTGGAGCCCTATAGGATTCACATACGACCCACAATCGCAAAAATATGCTTTCATCAGGCAAATACATGAGACTTTTAAATTATGTCTGGCATGCATAGCGCAATTTCCTCTTGTTATAAGCGCATTTTGCTACATTTGTAAAGCATCAAATCCTCCCGATTGACTTGTGGCAACAAGTCTGTGGACTCGTTCATAGCAAAATCATGGAGCAACGTACACTACGTACGGGATAACTATTTGCAGTGGATAGAACCTTGTCTTTTGCAAAGCCTAAGAGAATCTTCTTCTTCTTCGTTGGACCATGGATGCACGCATGTGGCAGAGCGGCCACGGCCGTCATCAGATTCGATACCAGTTATGCTCAAGAAAATAGTTGATGAACAAGATGGTGAGCGCACTCAAAAAAGCTACCATCGTTCCTATTAAGTATGAAAGTTTTTTGCATGACTTGTATATAATTCTCGCTGTTACATTGTGTAGATTGAATAATCGGTATTACTCGGACACAGTCTCCGAAAGAAAGACTATTATTTGGTAGCGTGCTTGAAATTCATGGACTGTAATGATTTTGACCAAGTCGAAGAGATTGGATCTGGTGGCTACGGAACTGTTTATCGTGCCATGAACAAGTTCTTCAATGAGCGGGTTGCCTTGAAAAAGTTTAATCAACTGCCAAAGTCATTTATTCGTGAGGTAAGCATTCGCTCGAATTCTTGTACACACACACACATACACACACGAGATAATTAATTCGATCATTTTATCGATCATTATATTACAGTTTAAGAAATACATCAAAAGTTCAGCTTACGAATTCCTTCCATTCCACGGAGTCACGCAACATCCAGAAACAAAAGAATATCTAATCGTCATGCAATATGCCAATAACGGCAATGTCATGTCCTACTTGAACAGAAACATCAACAATTAACATGTACATGGAAGATGAAAATAGACTGTTTATTGGACATTGTGAACCATATAGAAGCTATTCACAAAGATGGACTAATACACGGTGATCTTCACGGGGCAACATTGTCTTGAACAGCGAGGACGATGCTAGTTCGAGTATGCCGTTTATATGTGATATTGTGCTCGGCCAGTCTGTGAATTCATCCAAGCCAAACCCGTCATCGTCATCGTCGTCGGGGGCAGTGCGAGGAGTTTTATCGTATATCGCACCGGAATCTTTCACACGCACGAATTTACCCAAAAATCAGACGTTTATGCGTTCGGTATTCTCATGTACTTGATGGCGAGTGGCGAGCCACCGTTCAGCGACAGACAATTCGATGAAAATCTCGTGCATGATGTCTTGGCGGACTGCGACCAAGCATGCCCGACCCGGCGCCAGAACCTTATGTAAAGCTTGCCAAGACGTGTTGTGATGTTGATCCGGACAAGCGTCCCGATGTCGAACAGCTTCCGAGATTGTGGCTAATGACGACGTATGGAATACCATGTACCACAATGAAAATCTTGTACCGTTGACACGTGCCGGGAAAATACCAGTAAGCTGGAAATTGGTCAAATTCTCATTGAGTTGGTTATACTGTATTCGTATAATGTATTATTAAGTTTATTTGACTCTTATTTATTTAAATAATCACTATTATTACTAATTTGTTATTATAAAGGTTTAAATCATGCAATGAGCGAATAACAGTTAGATCTAGATCAAATTTAACCGATTAAAAATTAAGTATAGTAGAAGGTCAGAGAATGTTCTAGCGCAGAGACGCTAAACATATAACTCGCACGCAAGCGTTAATGACCTGCCTAATTCTAAGCCTTAGAAGCCTTGTTCGCCGAATACTTACAATTGTATCAATAAGCGCTTATTTACATCTGTTGCTATGGTATCCTAGAATTCTAGTCATTGTGTTGGCAAAAATAACCCTGGCCAAATAACATGACTTACAAAAAAGGCAAATTTGTTCCCCAGCCGTTTTGTTTATTCGAGTCGGTCACAAAAAACGCCAAATTTGGGTGACGTTATTATTATATATGGATAACTAAATTGCTAAAGTCGATTGTAAGTTTCGTTTTGTTTACCGGTTTAAAGGTCGATATTTTTTATAGAAGCTTTTGTTATACTGCATTTGGAGGATCTTACCTAGTCGAAAGTTATTAATCACTATTGTACCATGCTTAATCAGTATATCTATACTACACTTTTTCGAGCTCTGCGACAGTCTTTTGCTAAATAATTAAAAATTCCTACCCCTGGAAATGCAAGTTTTAGTTATCGGACATCTTATCCGAAGCTCAACATAATCTTATGCGAGAGCAAGCATATTAAAAATTGGATATGCTCGTTAGCGCAGCAATTTAAGCATAAACACAATCAGGAAGCTATCGAATATGCAGCTAGCTGTGAGAAAAAAACCAAAACAGCTTCTTTATCCAGTAGTTACCAAATAAACTGTACATCGATGAGCATATGAATGACATTATAATAAGTATTATGTTTTATGCGCAGCATTATTGTCATTAGAACAACGTAAATTTGTAATTAACTGGATTGAGATGAAAATTCGGTCGATACAAATTATAACATTAAACTCAGTTCCACAAAACATACTAACATAGCGTGATTTATATATAGATTCCAACCGCATTTTGTCTTATATATAGTTGATCTCTTTCAAGACAGGCAAGAACTTCCTTTAGCCACAACATCATTTCGTCCGAAATCCTTTTCAAAATATTCTGCTAATCTTAAGCATTTATTTCATCGACAATCATTTCACCGACAGTGCACTTCACCAACAGTCATTTCACGTGACAAAGCCAGTTTGGTCTCTAGCGCCATAACTAGATTTCAAATTTCAAGACGTATGGAAACTGCGGGTATCACACAAACACCTTTATGGTAAAACCTTACATCCACAGCCCAATCAATCGCAGTGATTTTACAATAAGCCCGGAAATGAGTTACGGTCAATACATGGAAAGCTTTAATCTATTCCGGTAAAGTCTCTTTTTCCTCTTGGCATTAACAGGCATTGATGCCCATCACGACCGAACAAAATTCCGAATTGAATAAACCATATTAACAATCGACTCACATATTACAAGGTTGACTTTTGTTCTTTCCTCTAATCATACTTCTTAACGACATGCAGACTACAGTTAACAATGTACTTCGATAGTGAGGTTTCTTCAATAATTCGCTTCCGATACATCCATGTTACACGACATGAAGAGGATAAACAAAAGCGTAAAAGGAATATAAACGCATAGTGACAATAATAATTGTACCTCTTAGTTTTATTTATAAAGAATTCTTCTACGCCCTCTTAGCAGCAATTACTTTCGAATTAGCGAAGAATATTAGAAAAAAAACATTAAATGCGCCATAATTGAGAATTACTTTCGCTTTAAACTATAAGTAAAATAGCTTAATAACGACGACGTTACGTATAGCCAATTACCAGTAACAATCGGGCGTATTGCGGAATCACAGCCAGTAATAATATTAAACGCACGGAATCAAAATATACATAATATTAAGCAATTAAACAAAAGTCAAATAATGAATTCAGATCACCACAAACGAACTCATCTGAGGACCTTCCACATTCCCAGTAAGTAGTTCATTTATAAGATCGAGGTATTAAAAAAATCAATAAACAATGATGTATTACATAAGTTATAATAGCTAATTGTCCAATAATAAATACAGATGGCTCATCGATTTAACAGATTGTAAAGACGCAACTATTTCCGAATAATATACGAAACATCTGCATATTTGGCACTATTTATTTTTCTATGCTCTATATGGCTGCTAGCCTGGAAACTCTGTTGCAATTCCAAATCTAAATTTTTTACGGGGTGAATTTCTGGCGGTGGAAGGATTTCTGTTTACTCAAATACTATGGAGTGGATGTAAGTGCAATTGAATTGAGTAAAAGCATCTGGGTAATCTATTGCTCTTGAACAACAAACACCTACTAAT